GACCGCCCCTTTGTCTCGAGAGTTTTGAGACTGTGGAACAATATACAAGAGGAAGCTTTTCCCAGTTCTACTAACCTTAGTTAGTTCAAAAATCGTATTAACAAAATTTCTTTGGGATCATCATAGCAGCCGCGGTGTTTCGGCATTTAGGCTTCTGCCTGCGCGACTGCTTCGATATATAATATAGGTATATATATACCTCTATATATGTATACATATATACTCCATAATCATTTCAATTTTTGGCTTGTCTATTGAATACCAAATATAGACCTACCATAGAAATATTCATCTCTCAATCTCTGTTTGGGAATCTGACTGTCCAGTTATTAAACCGAACGTCGGCAATGAGTAATCAGGGGAGCAGAAACACGTCGTCCTGCGACCTGTCTTTAGGTAGTGTGTCCCTCTTTTATCGAGTATAATTTATTGCCGGTTTATTTCTTTGATGTCCTTTACCGCGGTCTCATGGATCACTCTAAGCAAAAGCTAAACATACACGGTAATGTTTACCGAAAGGACATGCGATAAACGGGTTACAATAACAATAATAGTTTTGAGCGTAGCAACTAGAATTCTTAGAGAAATTTTACATGGAGCACCCTTCAAAACACTTTAAGGATTGTGTATATTTCGTATTTTTAAGTGTTGTGTTCTGAAGATTTAAAAATAGGAAAATTGATATATCATTATCTGCCGTTTTTAATAATGGAATCATCAACTTGAGCATTTGATAGACCAATTGCGTATGAGTGAAAGACGAAAGGTAAGAAATCAAAAGCCCTGGATGGAATGAAGCTTCTCAGAGGCTGGGAGATTTTAGGTACGAATTCGCGTCGTGTATCGGCGGAGTGTGGGTAGAGACAGTTGATTATGATTTGTTCACCAAAATATTCATACCGATCATATTGTGGCGGAATCATGAATCTGAATATCCATAATAGTTAGTTAACCGCTTAACGATCTAGTTTTTTTTTCAAAAATTGGTAAAAAAAATTTTTTTATTTTCTTATTTTGAACTAAATCGAAAGTTATTTTATTTTCTAGAGTTAAAAATTAAATAAAACCCTGAATTTTTGTAAAAAAACTTACATTTATTTTTATACATGTGCTTACCCGAGTTAACTCGGGCAACAAAAAAAGATATTAATTTGAGGAACAAACCTAAGGTAACACATCTAAAACTTATATGTAAGTAAGTAAAAAAAACATTGTTCTAAATATTTGCAACTGTGTGGTAAATCCTAAAGCATGGAGTCACACACAAGGGGGTTTCGCAATCTGCACAGTAATATTTGGTTTCTCTTCTAATCATCTTTCCGCGTTCATCTCGAGCCCTGCTGCAAATTCCACATTGCCTGGTTGGATTTGTCTTTTTCTCAGTAGCTGGAATAAGATCGTCCTGTCAGACGAAGCGGAGTGAGCTGGGTTGAAGGTCGTCCTGTTCTTGTAGTAAACTCAGTTTGATGATATTTTTCCATTATTTGCTTTATAAGCTCCGATCGGTATACAAGTGCTGATTTTGTTCCGCCCGTTTTTTACATATATTATAAAAGAGTTCCATGGGGCTACATCTAAAAGGTGGAAAAATATTTTTTCATAATATTTCTTACCTCTTTTTCTTGGTGAGGTATAGTCAGCCAAGTGCTGGTCCACTCGGTCCACTCGGTTCACTCCACCCATGGTATCGTTATAGTCCACAACCAATAATATATTGGATTCAGAAAAGTCTACCTTTGTATAATAAAAGACTTTCGTTAATTGCCACATGATTCTCTGGAGTAACTGTAGCTCGAAATTTATTCACTAACTTGTCGTATATCGGCCATATCTTATTTAGCTTTGGGTTTGGGTGGTGCTCAGCGTCAAAGGTCTCGTTATCAGCAAAGTGTAGATTTGACCTGATTGCTTCAAATCTTTTATTGCTCAGGCATTTTGCAAAAAAAAAGGTGTCAGTAAAAAAGGATTTTTAGACCAATATTGCCTCATTTCAGGTTTTTTTATAATACTTTGAAGAATTATAAGCCCCAAAAATACTCTCATTTCAACAGCAGTTACTGGGAACCATTTCTTGAATTTCTTTTGAATCGTATAGCGATTGGTTTCAGTAACAATGTGATCGATTATCTCAGCATCAAAAAATTGTTCAAAAAATTGCAGTAAATTGTCCTCATCATTCGAGTGAAAATGAAAACTAGGTGTGGCAGAAAATGGAAAAGCTGGTGGTTCCGGGGAATCAAGCCCTAACTCGCACCAATTACGCGCAAGCAACACATTTTGAGAGTTACTAGAATCAGAACTAGTCGTTGAAACATCCAAACTTGTACGTGACCCACTCTCATCGACGACACCTTCGATATCAACCCCATCGAAACTTTCATCACTGTCGCTCTCCATCGTTAAGCGTACAATAAAATAAAACATAAAATGTACGGCAATCAATCCCCTATTACAACCAAATAACCAATAACCAATAACCGTGTTAACTCGGGTTGGCGAAAATATGAGAGACGAGCTTACCCGAGATATCTCGGGTAAACACGTTAAGCGGTTAACCAGTCTGCTGAGTATATTATTAGCGTGTATGTCCAGCTTTACATCCACCCTTCAACTAGATAGATACACCCACAAACATGCCGGTATACAATAGGTTTTTTTGTTTTTGATTTACTGCCTGGAGGCGACCAAGATATCCAAATAAAGGGAAGAAAGGTTACAGGCGGATGGTTCACCCGAATGGGTTCCCTACTTTTAATTTTATTGATTTCAACAGAGTGATTCCTAGTTTGGCATGTCATAGAGTAATTGAGTTTATACAGGGTAATACATATTATTTTTTTTTCTGTCTAGACGATATATGATAAATAGAATTTTCTGGAAAATAGGCTTGTAAAATAGAGTGCTTTAGCGATAACCCACCTGTCGTTCTGGTTCCCTTGACATTGTGCAATATGAGTAACTACTATACTGATTCTAACAGAGGTTGGAATGGATTATTGTTCGGTCACAAGTTTGAACATGAGTGTAAGAGCGCTAAACTTAGTAACCAGAACAATCACTTTGTTTTTTGTATGTTCGTATTTATTTTTCAGGGAAAATGAATAATGTAGACTGAAGAGTATAAAATTAAATCAAGAAATGGAATATCACATCTATTTTCTCGCAATATACTTGAACGATCTACTTTGGAATTGTTTGGCAATAATCATTGACGTAGAATGCAAAACTAAATAACAAATTTGTATCGTATTTTCTTCTTTTTGGTACTACCCAGTCATGAATCACAAAAATTTAGTTGTTCAATAAAGAGTTGCAGCACGATGTAACTTTAAACTAACAACTTTTTAGGAGAGCACAAAAGAACGGTGGGCCTTTGGAGTCGCTATCGAATGATCTTATAATCCTCCATGTTTGTCTAGTCGCAAATGAAACCTCATAAGCTAATAGTACCTACTGATGACATTCCGGCATTCACGGTGGCTTTTTTAAGCAAATGCATAAGTTATTCTTTGCGTTTAGTGGTGTTACAACTTAAGCGACGATGTCTCAAATTCCAAATATGTTAGAATAACAATAGTCGCCTTTACATCATTAGCGGAGCATCGAAATATTAGCACCCCACTTCCTGCTAGTTTCGCAACGCGTAAAACAAACCGGTATTTTGCGGTCAACTACCTTCAGGTGACCTTCATTCCTGGATGTTTACCTTCCTCCTGACTAGCTGCTATATCACAGACATCACAGTTTAACTGCATGTAGGATTTGGTATACCACAATGTAATTTCAGACACCTCGCCAAAAACTGTTTCAACGACGGAGTGACGCTACTCTTCTATAGTCCATATCATTTCGCCACTACTTGCTCAACCACCTTAGGCGCTAATGCGACGTTGCAGTTCAGTATTTCGGGAGGCCAGAAGATGAAGGAGGTATGTGCAACTTCGATTGCAGATTTTTGTACATACATATTATGTACATATGCGTATTTCATTTAGTGCATTAATACGTTACATATTAGCTAGTTGTTTTGTTTGCGAATTGAATGTTATTTATCTCATGATAAGCAATAAAGGAAAGAAAATGGTCGTAACAATTGAGAAAAAGCTTGAAGCGATAAAACGATTGGATCTGGAGAATCAGCTAAAAAAAAGCCAAGAGCGTTCAAAAAACTGAAAAATCAAAATTCTCTACCAATATGGTATTACTGGATGAACTCGACAATTCTCAAAGCTTGGTTTCAGATCGAATTTGTGCCAGCTGTAAAAAAGCATCTTACCGTTAAAAAATTGCCCAGGAAAGCCATTCTTATCCTCGATAATGCTCCATTGCATCCACGATGGACTACGAGATGGAGATATCAGAGCTTTGTTTTTACCTCCAAATGTGACGTCTATTTGTCAACCTGTGGATCAAGGTGTCCTTGAAGCTTTGAAGAGAAGATATCGGCGCCGACTTGTTAGCTTTTTAATATCATCCGTTAACAACGACGTCGATTGCATATCTTCCTTAAAGAGATCGCCCTGTATAAGGGATAATTGACAATACGACACATTTTTGATCGTGGAAGTGTTCAAGTTTTTCAATAGAAAATCCGATTTAAAAACATGGAGATAGACTCTGGAGGTCAAAGTAACGATGCCCCAGCGTCCCCAATGATGAATGACACCAGCTGTAGCAGACGAAAAGGACAGAACCATCAAGCGCCTGACCCTGATCATCGAAAGCCAGGCTCTGCAAATAAAGGAACTGACTGAGACAGTTAGGGACCAAAACATTAAAATAGACTGCCTGGCCACCCAGGTAACACAGTTAATCAATAATTCAAATTTTAATTCTAAATCTGACATGGCTGTCAATTTCTAATCTACTGACGGTGCATTATCTCAACAATCTCACGTTGCTGGTGAGTTGACCAGCACAGTACCCCGCCAGGGGCGAATCACGCCCATTGTTTTGCGTGATGCGGCCAAGTGGCGAAATCTAAACTACACCTCTATAAGCTTAGGCATTAAGATAGAACGCGCAGTTGCCGTTGATGCGGGATTCAGGATTTTGCCGAAAACTGAGGATGAATACCGCAGAATCGTTCGCCTGTTCAGAGAAGAGGACGTGCCCCATCATACGTTCCCTCTCCCTTCAGAACGAAATATTCACGCGGTAGTCAGAGGTATACCCGCAATGTTTTCAGAACAGAAGATCAAAGGGGAATTAGAACAGAGGGGATATACTCCTCTCCACATTACCCGACTCAAACGCAGTGGCGGCGCACCCATGCCTTTGGTGGTCGTGATACTGCCTAAGATTGAAAAGTCCCAGCAGCTGTTCAATGAACATGAGCTGCTGGGTCTAGCCATCAGAATTGAAGTTAAAAAGAACTCTAGACTTATTGGGCAGTGTCACCGCTGCCAAAGGTATGGACATGCGCAGTCTTACTGCACAGCACCTCCCAAATGTTTAAAATGTGCTTCCGACCACATGATACATTTATGCCCTCTCACAGGACAAGAGAAGCGAAGGTGTGCGAACTGTAGAGTGGCGCATCCCGCTAACAGTCCCACTTGCAGATTCACCCCCAAGCGAAATCTGGAAGTCATAGCGCAAAGACGCAGCAAGTCATACGCGGAAGCAGCCGTCTCAACATCTTCGGCTGGCCCCTCTGTTCAACCCACTTTGAACACGCAGAATGTGGACCTAGCAACTGCGCTTAAGTCACTTCAACAAATAATAGGTCTCCTGATTAGCGCCACTCAGGCATTGCAGGCGATCTTTCCGCAGCCATTGAATGGCTAAGCACAATAGACAACCTGCATTTATCAAAATTCTTTTTTGGAATTGTCTGAGCCTAATAAGGGATATTCCCCAAAAACGGGAATTTCATCAAACTCTATTGGATGCGAGTATAGACGTAGCTCTGCTGCAGGAAACATTACTTAATCCGGGAGATCGCTTAGCTTTCTCGAATTATGATGTTATACGCGCTGATAGATTGAATGGTAGGGGTGGGGCTTTGCAGTGCTCGTTAAACATGGTATTGACTATCACAGAAGCACAAACGACGAGATGCAAAGCATTGAAGCGGCGTCCGTGGTAGTCAATATGGCGGGACCTATTCCGTTGAAGATCACCTCGGTGTATGTCAGGCTGCGAGAGGAGGACTTGGAAGTCCTTCTGGACTGTTCGGGCCCTCTTATTGCGGCAGGGGACTACAACTGCAAACACCGATCATGGCACTCAAGGCTTAACTCTACTTGTGGGGTTGGGCTTTACAACCATGTGATGCGAAACGGGTATCTTATTCACAGCACCGAAGAGCCGACACACCATCCTTTCAATCACCTTCAGGCACCGGATGTTATAGACTTTGCAAAATCTAAAAACTGTAGGTGCAGTATTGCTTCTAGGATCTTGTACGACATCTCTAGTGACCAACTACCTGTTGTTCTGGAGGTAGGTAATGAGCATTTCGTGGAGGAGAAAACTCCTCCAAGGAAAGCAGTTGATTGGGAACTATACAAGTCATTTCTCAAAGAGTTTCCCAGCGTCCCGATCATACATGATGAGAACGGAATTGATGCTGCTCAATCGGAGTGGACAAGATTCGTTCACCAAACTCTACACCATGCTGCTGTGCTTCCGGTGCAGCGACACGGCAGATCTTGTCTCCCTGCTGACATTCGTCGGAAAATTTCTGAAAAGAGGGCTGCGATTAAGTAAGCCAAAAGCTCTTGTCATCCTGATGAAATTCGTAGAGCGACGAATCTCGTCCATGAAGTGAGAAATGCACTCCATGAATTCCGCAATGAGCAGTGGAGCGGACTTCTGGCGGGGATGCTTGAATCAAGTATTCCTTTCTGGAAAGTGACAAGATCGCTCAGAAACGGAAGGCAAGAACAACTACCACATATTCATGGTCCTGGAGGCATAGTTTTCAGGACTGAGAATAAAGTGGAGATTTTGCTGACGTACGTCATGGAAAGGCAGTTCTCTCCCAATTATGATCTGGACAATGACTTCGACGAGGAACGACAAATTGTAAGGTCTGTCAGGAGATACTTCAGAGCGAATGCCGATACCAACATCGGTGCTAACATCGGTGACTCCTTTTCAGAAGATTCTTCTACGGAAGACTCTTCAGATGAATCTCAGCATAGCACATCAACGGAATCCTCTGAGATTCCGTTTTGCACACCAGCAGAGCTCCAAGGCCACAATAAGGACCTGAATGGTGCGTAAAGCATCTGGAGGGGATCAAATCACCAACAAAGCACTGAAGTTGCTTTCGCTCAAGGCTTTGACTTATCTGGTGGCAACAATCAATGCAATGCTTAGAACTCATTACTTTCCTAAGGCGTGGAAGGTCGCTGAAGTCATCATGATCCCAAAGAAGGCAGGTTCGATATTCCCCCAGGATTACCGTCCCATTAGTATGCCGTCAGCTCCGTTTAAGCTCGCTGAAAAGGTGATTTATCGTCACATTGAGAATTTCTCGTCAGATCACCATGTGATTCCTGACGTGCAATTTGGCTTTCGGTCTGAGCATAGTACGGAGCTACAGGCAGTTAGACTGGTGGAGCATGTAACCAGGGGGTTCACCCTGAACAAAAGTACTGGTATCTTGCTTTTAGATGTATCAAAGGCATTTGACAAGTTGTGGCACATGGACCTCTTGTATAAGCTCATCCAAAAGGGTTTTCCATTTTGGCTCCTAAACTGTTGAAATCTTTTCTAGAAGAAGGTTTCGGATCAAAATTAACAATGTGTTGTCAACAACACGAGGCCCGTAAGAGCCGGTGTTCCTCAGGGTTCGGTCTTAGGACCAATCCTTTATTCAGTTTATATACATGACGTCCTTTATTCACTTTATATACATGACGTCCCTCTCCCCAGCAACTGTGAAGTCTATGTCTAAGCTGACGACACTGCATTACTAGCCCACTCTTGTTCTCGTAACCTGGTTCACGACAGGCTGCAGAGTGCGGTGGAGGAAGTATTGGAGTGGGCGGATCGGATGGGAGCAATCTGTCAGGTATCTTGGAGTCATCATTGACCAGGGGTTGGCCTGGCAGAAACATACTGATATTTTGAAAACAAAATTCCAAATTACCTTTCGGCAGCTTTATCCTTTGTTGTGCGAAATTCAAAATTAAGTTTGATCAACAACATTCGGTTGTATAAAATGGTCATAAGACCTGCAATGGCAATGGCAAAACCTATGCATGCGCGGCTTGGTGTTTTCTTGCCAAGACGTGCATGCAGAGACTGCAAGTCCTGCAAAGCAGAACCCTACGCACAATTACTAACGCCTCTTGGTACGTGTCAAATGAGACCATTCACAGAGATCTTGATATTCTATGTCTAAGGAATTATGTAAAACAACAGGCGCGGCGGCGTTATAATCAAGCGGAATCGCACAGCAACCCTCTGTTGCGTGATTCAGTAGACCATACAGTCGAGCAAGTTCGCAAACATTCCAGGCCGCGCCTCGCACTGTGATCAAAATAAATTGTAAATTCAGACCACCCAAAATTATTTCAGTATACAAACCCGATCAAAATTATTTTTTGGAGTTACAAAATAATTCGAGTAGTCAAAGCAATAATACTTAAGCTATTTCAAATGATTTACTTCTTTTCATTGCTCTATTTCTTCCTTTCTTTTTTTCTTTCTCTTTTCCCCTTAAACATGTTTGGTAACTGGGTAGACAGACCTGACAGACTAACAGACCGACGAGACTTTTAACTAAGAGCAAAGGTCCACCGGACCGCTATGACGAATAATGATGAATAGTAGTAACTTCCTTTAAAAAAAATCGACATACTGGTTGTTATGCCATGGAAAAAAATTGTTTGAAAGTAAAATGCCTGAGGAGGATGAGAATGCGAATGAAAATTAAGAACTTCTTTCCTTATTAGTAGAAGTACCCGGCTGTGAGAGTGAATTTGGAGGACGTTACGGACCGGATAGAAAATGATGGAGCCGACGACATAACCGACGATGATATTGTGAAAATGGTGGTTAGTAACGAAACCGTCACCGAAGATATTGAAGACGAACAAATCAATCGGATTCCACGCTCTGAAGGTCTAAAAGTGATTGAAGGAGCTCTCGAGTATATCATTCAACTTGTTAGCTTTTTTAAAAAGTAACACATGTAGATTATGTTTAACCATAATACCTTTATGTTCCTGATCATGAATGTCGTAAACCATTATTTTATTAATTTTTATAAAGATCATATATTGATATCTCTATTAATGGCTTACGCGATCAAAGCAATAATTGCCGATAAGGATAGGGAAATTGAATCGTAAGTGAAGGGCCTGTGTGCCCTAGAGGGACTGTGTGTCTCAGGGGGCTGTGTGCCCCAGGGGTCTGTGTGCCCCCGTTCTCAAGGTCTGCTGTATATGATCAATTATAAATAAATAGTCTGTATGATGAATTGGCACCTCTGCAGGTAAGTAACGTAATCCTAAGGTAGTAGAGTTGTGCATGTTATGAGTCGGTTGAATATGGGAGGTACTCAAATCATTTTTCTAAAAATAGGTTGGCCCCGACAATCCGATCATATCACCATTATCGTTGAAAAAGGAGGATAACTCGTCGTTTCGTCACCAAGAAAGTGGCTTTGATATTATCCTGACATTGTTGCCCATATCGAATTGTTTATGTACTGCCCTTGTAATAAAAATAAAATGGTACAGGGTGGTACTTCGAAATATTCTAAGATGGGTTTGTCGTTTTTCACGTTCTATCATTCTATTATCATCATATCTTATCATAAATACGATACACGCTCACATAATTTAAAAAATGACAAACATTGCAAATAGTACAAAGGAACAAGTAAAATTCTTAAGACTACACCGTGTGATCAGGTTGCCGAAAAAAGTTTTCAATGTTATAACAGGATTTATCAATGAGCATGTTGATCAAATACCTTTTAAAGCATGTCAGTAACGTCAGTATGCGACATGATAATATTGGTAATATATTCAAAATCTCAAGGTCTTTATAAAATGGCGATGATTTTGGCGCAGGAATACGGAAGTGGTCTTTCTGTCTGGTGCGAATACAGTGTATATGTCGTGGTCATATCCTTTCGTGCTCGATCATTTCATGAAATGGCCAAATGAATTTGACCATTCCGTTAAATCGCCAACGTTTAACGATTTGGTCATCAAAAATAACTGATCATATCGTAATGGAATATTTAAAAAAAATCCAGAATGTAAGGTTACGAAATATCTCAAACACATTTTTGCATGGGAATTCAACCCTGTAGCACAAAATTTTAACATAAGGTCCACAAGTCTGGTTAATGTCACTCAGCACGGTGGCCCTTAGGCCTGTTTACGTTATACATTCCATTTCACCTCTAGGCACTTGTTCATACGATAAACTGTCTCAAAAACTCAGTTCAAATAGTGGGCGGAAGTGAAGCTAATTACAATGTCGCAGTACTATTGGGTGTAGTGTTTTAGTTACCTGAAAAGTATTTTTACTTACTTACTTTTATATTCATAATCATGTATGTCGTAAGTCATATTCATAAATATGCTTTGGTCATATATCCTTATAAAGGTGTTTTGATCATTTATCCATATTTCTATTAATGGGTTGCGTACTCAATAATTGCGGATAAGGATAGGGAAATTAACTGGCTCATACAGGTCTGACACCTCCAGTCTCGGGGGGTTGTTATAGGACTTTCGGCGCCCGATTGCTAGGTTCAGGTGGTTATATTAATTACTACTCGGTTTCCTCTATCAGCGGATATTTCGGAGCGCTTGGGATGTTAACACGATGGCTTTTGGCAGACGTGGCATTCTAGGTTTGAATGACCGCTTAACCATCTTCTCTCAGTAATCGCTGGCGTCTGAATGTGACTCATGGCAGGATGTGTGTAGCAGGGATTGTTATTCTAAAGATGGTCATCTTGCTTGGTTATCTCTGATTAAGAGGTGATGTCGGAGACTTTGGATACTGACACAACGGCCATTGGCCAACGTGATACCCTGGATCCTGGACTTCTTTTCGTAACAAGCGTTAAGCTCAGCATATCTCTCTATACGCCTGGACATCAACATAGGCTGCTGTGTGCTTGAATCCTATGTTGAACACATAGGCTGCTGTGTGCTTAAAATTGCATAAGTGAAGGACTGAGTGTCCTGAGGGACTGTGTGTCCAGGGGGCTATGTGCCCCCACTCTTAGGGTCTGCGGACAAGTATAAGATAAATCATAAATAAATAATGATGAATTGGTACCACTGTGGATAATTTATGTAATCCTAAGATAGTAGAGTTGTGCATGAGTCGGTTGAACATGAGGGGTACTCCGATCATATCAACCTTATCGCTTGCCACAGAAGGATAACTCGTTATCGTTCCGTCACCAAGTAAGTGGCTTTAATATTATCCTGACATTATCCAATATCCAATTGGTTAAGTACTGCCCTTGTAATAAAAATAAAATGGTACAGGGTGGAACTTCGACACCCTCTAAGATGGGTTTGTCGTTTTCACGTTTATCGTTATATTCTATTATTTTTGTTTCTCTTCATATCCTACATATTTTCTCAAAAGTGGGATCTGACGTTTATGTGCCTAGATCTGATAGTTATGGGCTTCTGATGCTGTTGGTTTTTGGTGCAATGTCAGGATTGTCTTGTAGACAGAAGGAAGCAAAGACTCATGAGAAACTATTGGTCGGTCCTGACGTATTGAACTTCCACCCTCGTACTTCGTCATATTTTGTCTCATCTGGTAGTCAAATATTAAAATGGTAAAAATCTAATATGTCCTGGCCTAATTGCCTACTACTCGTAACCATAACAGTTCTTTTTCGCTTTCTTGGGCCAAGCAGGTAGATTGTTAGTCGTATGATCAGACATCGGGTTGAAAAGGAAAACATGTTGGAAAAGGTCGTTATCGTTATCAGAGTCGCAAGAAAGGACGATCATCTTCAACTTGTAAAGAACGGGCAATCGTAGTTATTTTGGCAACAAGAACGCACTTATAAGGGTTTCAGGTCAAACTAGGAAGCAATAATCAGCGGGTGGTAGAGCTTGACTAATTGCAAGTGATGTCCATGGTGCCGTGCCGACAATAGATTTTATTGGGCAATGAAAGTGGTCGGTTGCATATCAATGGGTTGTGTAATTCTGGTAACACTTGTTTCATCGTTACTTTCGATGTCGTGACAAACTGGTACATTTCCTATAATCCTCTGGGAGTGGCCATACTGAAGGATTATGTCAATGTTTTGACCCAGTTCATAATTTTGGTCACTTAAGTATTGGGAATGATGGTGTGACGCGGGAATAAAAGCCCTTGTGATACCAATGTTACGTTAAAGATACACCTTATTTGTTGGACAACCCTTCACCGGGAAAGAAGTTATAAATAAGTCATTTTTCACTATAAGCAGGTTACTTTAAGGGATATCGTTCGCAAGTCTAGGCCTTTCATAGAGGAGCCACACATCCTTTGTTACCTCGAAGTTCTATGTGAATTTAGGCAAGTATTCTCAATATTCCTAACAACTTTCTAAGGCACTAAATGAATCGGCAGAGATATACGGAGAGCCTCGGTAACCTGGGAACCTATTGAGAGGAAAACGTCACGTTTATATTGAAAAAAATCCGAGTTCCTGATGAAATCATTTATATTTCGATGGTTCCAAATGAAGAGAAGGAGATCACGGTTGGATCTATATCGGAAGTTCAGTGAGGAAAATTGGTTAGCTCACCGAATCAATATCGCGGCTATTTTGCTCCATCAACAAAGTCATACGAGCATCACACTCAACCATGCATCCCCGGTTCTTCTGATCAAGAAGAAAAATAGCGAACAAAGGTTATGTGTCGACTATCGTCATTCGAATGCTATAACAGTCAAGGACAATCAGGCTCCGTCATGGGATCGATTTGACTAGTCTAGATCTTGGGTCCGGATACTACCAAATTCCTATTATGGAGGACGAATCGAAGCGATACACAGCATTTGTCACTCCAGGAGGTCTCTGTGAATTCAATAAATAGAGTCCCTTTCGGCATTTCAAATGCACCCAGAGTATTTCGGAGGCTTATGGACTGGCTGCTCAAGCCGACGCAAGGCATTGCAGCCATATATCTTGATGATCTATTGCTTCATGCTAAAAGTGTGGAGTAAGCACTGGAGGGTATCCCACAGATTCTGGGAATCTTTCGAAAGGAAGGTCTCATTTTGATCTTGAAGAGATGTGATTTTTTTATGAGATCAGTTATATTTATTGGGTTCCCAAGGTCAAACTCGGCGAGAAGACAAAAGCGGTGGAGAGTTTTCGTCAACCAAGTACAGAACATCAAGTCCGACAGTTCCTTGTACTAACAGGATATTTTGGGCATTTTGTGAACGACTACGCTATAGTAGCTAATCACAAATCTTCTCAAGAGTGTGTTTGGAGGAGGGGCGAACAAGAAGAAGGATCATTTAGGAAATTGCAGGGCAACTTAGTGAGTCGGCCAGTTATGCAAGTGTGCTAGAAGTTGCAGGGATACTTTTGCAGGTGCAGCCCGATGAGAGGCTACATCCAGTTGCGTACTATAGTAGGCAAACTACCGATGGCGAACAGAAATATCACTCATGTAAGTTGGAAACTCTGGCGGTGATTGAGAGTTTGAAGGAGTTCCGGGTATATTTGTTGGGGATTAATTTTATAGTGGTGACTGATTGCAATGCGTTGAAGGCCACCGGTGTAAAGAAGCATATAATACCCAGAATTGTTAGGTGGTGGTTGCAACTCCAGGAGTTTGACTGTGAAATGAAGTACAGACCTGGAGCTCGAATGGAACACGTGGATTGTCTGAGTAGAAAGAAATCCAGTCGGTTGTGCTGACGGGGCTGCCGAACCGGAAACGGTGTTCCGAGTTGAGCAGGCTGATTGGGTATTATCTGGTCAACTTACCGACGAGAAGATCAGGCGAATTCACGACATCTTGTCCAGACCGCCTACGTCGGACAAGGAAAAGCAAATCTATAAAGACTATGCTTTGGGGGATGGACGAGTATATCGTATTACGGTTCGAGGTACTCAATGGGTTGTGCCACG